AGAACTACTATTTACACTTCCCAAGATGCTCTGAAGTGACACCACACTGGGAACACTGGAAAAATGAAAATGGTATTCTCAGACCTACCTACTAAGCATGAGAAATTCAGAGAAAGAGAAATACTGGCAGTTCGGCTAGGACCACAGCAATAATGCTTGATCTTGTGTGCCTAATAAGGAAGAGTAATAGTGGATAAGCTGTAAATCCAGGAATTTGAACTGCATGATTACATTCTATGAGAGGAGGCTTTTAACAAGTTTCTGGGGAATCTCAGGTTTCCCTCAGACACATATTGAAAACTATTGTTTTAAATTGCATTAGGTTTTCAGATAGGTTTTTAGTATTTTCTTTTAGCTGTATTTTTGTCCTTTTAATGTTGCCATTCATTGTCTTGGCGACATTGGTTGAAATATTGAAAATACAGCTGTATCTCTGTAACATAGCAAGTTGTTTTGATCCTCACTTTTTAAATAATGTTCTTTGAAACTTCTTACATACAGTATAATAAAACCAGATATTTGAAACAACTAATATTGGAATGCCAACACACAGAGGTACAATATACAAGGAGGACCCCCTAGCTTACCTTGGTGAAGACAGCCATTTCTTGAGCTTGGGAAGTCCTTTCTATTAAGATGCCTTAGGTCAGGGTTCCTCAACCTTGGCGACTTGAAGATGTGTGGACTTCAACTCCCAGAACTGGGAGGCTGGCTGGGGAATTCTGGGAGTTGAAGTCGACACATCTTCAAGTTGCCAAGGTTGAGGAACTCTGCCTTAGGTTATTTCTATTTCTCTCATGAATTTGATCCTAATGTCGTGATACACAACAGCTTTCCAAGAATATTTATCTGCTAAGTGCGATCTGTTTGGTTAACTTCAGTATATGAACCCAGTATATGGCTTGTTCATGTCAGATCATAGCTACAACAAATCTTGGCTTAGCATCGTGCATGAACCCAGCCCATAACTACATTTCCATGACGTGGATAGCAGAACATAAGTAAAGCTACCAGGCAACACAGTAAATTACAGTATTTGTCAATCGCAGTTTGCTTTTCAGCTGGTATCCTAAGCACCTTTGTAGTGGATGGTCTGGTCAAATTTCTTTTTTTAAGGAATAAAACAAAACATAATATGGAAGGTTTGGAAGGGTCAAAATCATCATCCGTAACTAAATCTTTCTTACCTTTTAGAATGAAAACAAAGCTGGGGCATCAGATACCTCCTGCTGGAGGAGCAAATTTAATATTTGGTTGTTTTGCCAACTAGTTTTTTATGTTTAGAGGCCAGAACGTAGAACTAACCAAAGGTTAATTTCCCTGTGGGTTAGCACAAGACTGTAGTTAAGGTAAGCTAATAAAAACAAGCAATGGTTAAAGATTGTGGTTAAGGTACTCCTTCTAAATTATAAACTGGGACCAAACCTACGTTGGGATAGCATGGTAAGCCAAACCACACTATGGCTTAAGTATCCTGTAAATGTGGTCAATGTGTCATGCCATGGCCTTTAGGCAGCCGACAGCAGGTTTAGGATTTTTTTCTGATTTTCCTAGACAGTCCAGAATACTCTACTGTCCTGAATTGAAAAGAGTCTTTGTTTTTTAAATAAGCAACTATCTTCACTTGTAATGATTATACAAATAGGAGATCCATTCAGTATTTCTAAAATTATACCACAAATGCTGCACTGTTAGGTAGACTTACTGGAGAGATGGCTATATTAAAGTCTCTCTCAAACTTAGTTCAGGTCCTGACGACTTCACGTTCGCATCCATGTAGTTTTCATGACAAAAACATGAAAGTGGTTTGCCACTGTCTTTTTCCAGGATGTTTTTCTGACTTCCCAGTCTTGGCATTTCCTGGAAATTTCCCATCCAATCATATCTAATCCTATCCAGGTTTTTGAGATCAGTCAAAATCATTTTGGCAAGATGGATATTTCCCAGCAAACTGGGGTGTTTTTGTTTTGCTAGGCTGGTTGGCGGCGGAACAGCATGAAAGTGATTTATTCATAGTTCATGGCAGTCATTGCTGAGCATGTTGAGATAACATGATCATTCTTGATCACAAATACACATACTGTATGTTTATTTGGACTGCATGCTTAGATTGTTGTACTTCCCACTGCTCTACAATATAGAAATTAAGATTAAATGGGCTTTTTTTAATTTATGTTTTTATACCGGTCAAAGCTTTCTGAGACAAATTACTCTTCCTGGGGCAATCACCTCTATTTATTAATACTGTGTGATAACCAACATCATTTGGCTATAAGCATATAAATTTAATAATAAAATAAAACTTTTATGTTGACTAACATTTCCTAAAAGGCTGATTTTACTTCACTGACTATGCTGCCTGGGGATGACAAGTTATTTAGAGGTCAACAGGTTGGGAAAGGCTGACCTTTATATATGACTAGGTTCATACATTGCATTAAACCAGGATTTCTAAAGAATTGTTGAACAAGCCATAGTAGCTTGATTCATGTATAATGGTTGGGCCTAAGCTAACAACTACATTACAGATTTGTGTTGTATGAGAACCAGGCCACTGTGTATTGTCACTGTCTACTTATATTGTTGAAAAGGAGTTCAATCCATACGCAAAGAAAGGTGGAAGCTCTCCCATCCAGTGGGCAGCAAAGGGATTCAAACTAGCAAAGGATGTTTTTCAGCTAACTTCTCACACTGTCACTTGAGAGCCACTTAGCAAATGCAGCTTCACATTGTGATTATGACTTTATTGGAGATCTTAAGACACCTCATTCTACCTTGGAAAATTTTAAAATGTGGATTTGTTCAGGAGGCAATGACTCACAGTAGTGAAGCATTCAGAGGATAAATCACCATGCCAAAAAGTTAATCTTGTGGAGGCTTCCCTATTTAGCAACTGAGTAAAAAAAAAATTTCGTGACAAACAGCAGCATTAAATCTCAGTCACTTCTACTCTCCTTGAACTGTCCTGTTACTCTTAGGCTCATAGTGAAAAAGAGAGAGCGAGAGAGAATAAGAAAAGAAACCAAAACTAAGCAAACCTGAATTCTCTAAATTTAAACAAATCAGAAAGCAACCGGTGCACAAGCCTCCAGTCAAGTTTCTGCTTATCTGCTTATCTTTTAGCTTGTTATCACCAGCTTCTACTTTTGGGGAAAGATTACCTTTATCCCCAAGTGGAATTAACACCTTCATTATAAACCTGCTTATTTGATCTTGCTAAATTTTACAGTTAAATTTTGATTGACCATTGTTTCAGGCAAATTTGAAATTCTTCTGGAGGTAAAGCCCATTTGCTCAGTGTGTATTCCAGAGCATGCAGTTCTGTTGACACTAATCAAATCTGGTCAAAGAACTGATACAAACTGCCATGTATATCACCATAAATGCCTCTTTCACATGAAGAGCAAGCGTAAGTGTGACAGATATTCTGAATCAATGCATTTAGATAAGCTGTGAGGTTATAGACCTGAATATGCTTACCTGGAAGCAAAATTCCATCTAAATTATTTTACAGGCTTCAGAATAAAATGTGTTCAGCAACAGCAAACCTCTCTGGATTGCAAATCTCTTAGGGGAGAACAGACAGTTACTTATGATTAAACCCATTAATTCCATTTTTTTTTTTTTTTGAACAGGCCACTGATTGTTTCTTAGCTGATTGGGATGACTGAATGATGTCCAGATCACCAGTTGTTAGACCGTGGAGAGGCCTTGTCCCAGTGTGATTTTTCCAACCTCCTTGATATATTTGTTTACAGTTAATCTGTCCCTTGTGAAGAGAAGGAATAGTAGCTTCTCAGCCACAGTCATCAAGTGGGATTATGACATCTGGATGGGTACTCCTGGGATACACAAAATGGTGTCTCCTTGTTCCCCTATAGTGGCAAAGTCAGCTCTGCTGAGAGAGCCAGAAGTTAAAAATATATATAAAAGGAAAGTGTAACTAATGCCAGCCTAACAATACTGCTATACGGATGGACCCTCTGTATATTATGAACATGGATGGCAATGACCAATACCTCTGCTGTTACATAACTATCCTAAGTTCTTGGTGCTTTTTTTTTTTTTTTGGTCATATGGAGTACAGGACGTTGTCCTCAATTGGTGTATGGGACCAACAAACTGGGATAATTTAGAGCAATGTTTCTCAAAACTGACAACCTTAAGATGTGTGGGCTTCAATTCCCAAAGTTCTGGGAGTTGAAGTCCACACATCTTAAGGTTGCTAAGGTTGAGAAACCCTGATTTAGAGAGAAACCCCTTGGAGCAACTCCTGGTGACTACATCGGCCTGTTCACCTTCTTTCCTTGGCAGCAATGCAATGTTGCCTTCTTTTAGGCAATGTTTTTTTTCCACATCCCACTCTAGTCTTCAGCCCTGGGATTACCTGGTGGTCTTCTATCCAGGCAGTTTCTTTTATTTTTTTAAAATCAGCCAAGGTTCTGCACCTACCGTGGCTTTGGTCTTTCGCACATCCTCCCTTTCGAGGCTCACGTACAAATGCCACTCTGGTTTACTATGCTATCCCTAAGAAAGCAGTCAGCCGTTGGATCAAGAATATTTGAATGTACGTAGCCCGTTTTTAGAGATTTCGGACGGCGGAAACCTGCACGCGGTTAATGAAGATTGCGATTCTAGGAGCCTTTACGAGCCGCTAGCAAAGGCCACCTAAATCAACCGGCTCCTCCGACGCTTGTTTACTCTGAAGCAGGCCCTGCTGTGTTTGATGGCTTTTCTTCCGAAGCGGGTAAGAAATCGTGGCATCGCGGCTTGGCTTTTGGGATTGCTGGTTCCGACACTGTTTTAACCCTCACCACAGCGGATCCACAGAGCGCTGACCACCGAAGGCACGACGGCTGAACTGCAGCCCCTGCTCTCCCCGCAAGATAAATCAAACCACATAATGCGAATGCGAGAGCAACCTTGGCCCGAGTGGGTGGGGATTGGGAAGAGAGGAAGGGGGCGGATCAAATCTGATGCGAGCCGAGGAAGGGAGCTAACAGGCGGTCGGTCGCTTCAGTTTTAGCTAGCTGGGACCGGCTCCGTAAGGGTTAACGCGGCGGCGGCGGCAGTTCCTCTCCGGTGCTCCCCGCAGAGCCTGTTATGGCCTTTGAGCAGACGTCGCTAATGCCTCCCGCACCAGCCCCCTCTCGGGCTGCCACTGGGGTTTCCTGCTTGTGCGGCAGGCATTGAACGGGGCGCGAGCGAGCTGCCTGCGAAGCAGCGCCCGGGACCCGGCGGGGGCAGCGAGCCTTCCTCAGCTGCTACCCTAATCCCGGGTTCCTCAGGTGCGGCGTTTGCACTCAGCCGGGAGCTTGCAGACAACAGGTACGAGGCGGCGGGAATGGGCGGCCAGCAGCTAGGGCTGCTGCTCTTGCCGGCTAATGAATGGGCTCGAGGACGCCGGGAGCGCGTGCAGGCCCCACTGGAACTCGGGCGCGAGGGTTCGGAGAGGGGCTGGGGAGGGGGCGCCCAGGCCTCCACAGCCAGCCCCCGCGGGCTGAAGGAACGGGGAGAGAGGGGGGCTGTGGACAAAAGGAGAGGGGGTGAGCTGGCAAGACTCAGCGCAACCCCAGGATAAGGAGGAGAAGGGCCTGGAGCTGGAGGAGCAGCGGCAGCAGCCGCCTCTCTGCCTCCTTGTGATTTAGGATTTGCCTCCCCCTCCCCGTTTACTTGCCCCTTCAGTTGTAGCTTTTGGGGTGGAGATCCCATAATTGAAAGAGCAGGAGAGGCATTTAATGCTGGGAAGGTTTTTTCCCCTGCTTCCTCCCTTCCCCCCTTCCTGAGAACTGCTTTTTTTTTTTTTGGTAAAAAAACCACAACTTTTGTCTCCCACAAAGTCCCATGTGCTGGTGAGTAGGGTGCAGAGCCGAAGCAGCCGTCCTCTGGAAGAGTGCAATTCTTGGCTGCCCTTGAAGGGTGGAGAACTTGATTGGCTTTTTTGTTGTTGGGTTCCTTCTATTTTAATATTTTTAAAGACTCTGCAGTTAGAAATAGGTAACTTGCTTCATGCAACCATTTGTACTTAGCCCTTCTTCTGTCTTCCTATAATGCCCTGGACCATAAGCTAAGCAGTGGTCCTGGGTTTGCATAATGTGCTAGACTCAAATGTAGTTGATTTGTAGTTCTGAGTTGTTCAAACACAGCCACTATGTTTATTTGGAGACCTTGGTTTTTCCCTGTTTGAAAGGCCACTTGGGTGAAGATTGACACACACACACATTGTCATCCCACCAAATCCAAATTTTCTTAGTGCTTCTTAATCTAACCAATTCTATTTCCACCAACAGCTCTGACAAGGAGAGCCCTTAGCTGCCAAGGCACAGCTTAAAAATACGAAAACACAGCATACATAAATATAAATTCGAAATAATACTTGGTGCTTAGATTGCTTTTCATCTTCAAAGTGCTTTCACGCTCATTAGCTGAACCTCTGCATCCCCTGGATGGCGGCTTAACCTGGGATGATTTATGCAGAATATCAAAGGGGGCTCTTTCTAGTGCTGTCTTGTGCTCCTGAGTCTTGCTTTGTTCTTCCCTGGTAAGCTCATGCCTGAAGCCGCAATTTCTTTATGTCAGGAGAGACTGCACCCCAATTCTGAAGATCAGAGAAGAAATGGCATAGTGGCTGTGTGCACAGATGATGGAAAATGGCCAGGAATTTTCTCCTCTTCTAGATCAATGATAGTTTAATAGGGACGTTAAAAGAAAGAGGAGACAAGGTAGTTAAACTAATTTCCTTCTACTTTAAAGCAAATAGCTCAATTACAAAATTCCTTTACTGTTTGTGACAAAACAAGATTGAGCTGAGTGACAGTTATATTGCTGTTGCTCTTGTTGAGCATTAAGCTGTTGGATTTTCCACACAATATTAGCAATACCTCATTGTGACATATAAGTTAATAGCATGCTATGAAAAAACGATGAGCATGTCCTGTGGCATTTTCTAGCATGCTACCTACCATACAAGCTGCTGATGTCCAGTGGTATCGTTGGTGATAGTGTGGAACAGGACTGTGTATTTAACTTTATTAAGGCAATTAAGGATTTCTTTTGTGGCTGGAGCACAAAATATTAATTCCATTGAGTGCCAAGTATTGGTCCAGAATGTCCAGACTTGGTGAAGTCATCCTTGTAACAGTGCCTTAATAAAAAGTAGAATTAATTACATGAACCAGGCACATTGGAGAATGTGTAAGCAGAATATAATGAAACATCTACAAAAAAATAAGAGTGTTGCTTCTATTAATGCTGGAGACCACTAAGTGAAAGGCAAACAGCTAGAATTAAAATGCCTGATTTTCCACTCATTACTTGGAAGAAGAATTAGATTTGGAAGCTAATCTTTAGCAGTGAGGCTACTACAAGGAAACTGAGAGACAGACTTTTTAAGGGACCAGGCATTTAATTTAGTAAGACATTTTAAATTAAAACTCCTAAGTGTATCTTGTAAAATTATTATGTAATATTTTGAGTGTGAGTTCCTACTTTATTACTGTGTACATTTTTATAATTTTAAAACAATGTGCTTGGGTTGATTTGGGAGGAGATGGCAGGGGTCACAAATTAGCAACAGCTGTTATACATTTTAGTCCTCTCAAACATAAGAACAACTAAGAGTTTCTTCAAAAGATGGCATCTGTTGCCTTCTCTCTGTGCTGGCATTTGAGCTTTGGAGCAAGAGCTGTGTCAAATAATTGCACCCTCCAACTGCTGCTCTTGAATTACTCTGGGTATCCCAGAGATTCATGATTGAGGAAGCAGGTTGACAGTAATGCTTGGTTCTTTGCTGCTAAGAAAGAGTTGTTTGTAAAACATAGGAACAAAGAATGGTGGGATATGGTACCTAGGAAGGATGTGTGTATGATAAAGGCTGCAGTCTGATAATGATGGTCTGGTTTATATTTCCATATAAGACTACAGAGTGAATAAAACTCTAAAGCTAGGGCTACCATGTCTTGGCTATAAAAATCTAGATTACTAGATGAGAGCAAAGAGCTACATGAAATGCTAACTCTTTGCTATCATGTAGTAGTTGCCTGGATTTTTGCAGCCCAGATCTGATAGTTCAGATCAAGTTCTTAAAGTCGCTCAAATTAAACATTTTTTTTTTAAAGGAAATTTTCTAAATGCCATCCTGACAGCCCTGTTGGAAGATGGAGACTCAGTGGGCCTTATAATTTGCAAATATTATGGTAGTTTTGGAGTATCTAGATTGATATGGATGGCAGTGACCAGTGGACTTGGTGTTACAGAGTACAGTAAACCATCTTCACTTTCTTCAGGAAACCTACAGACTGGCTTGGAGTCACTCAAGGAGAAATCCATGACAAGTACTCCCTGACCCCCCTGAACCCCTTTGTAAATTAGCAGAAATTGTCTGAAGCCCTAAAGTTAATGCCTGCCTGATATTGACTGCAGAAGTTCATATGACCACTATAGAGCAGCAAAGAGATACAAAAAGGTTTCTTTGCTGCCATCTCATGGTGATCTTGATTAGATAGCACAGATAGTTAGTAGCTGTACTAAAGCTACTTCTTTCTCCTTTCCCATATAGTTAGCTGGATGAAAAAGGATGAAAAGTGCTGTTCTCCTCAGAGACATCCCTTGACTGCATAAAGCCCTAATCCTCATGTCCTTTTCAAATCATCTCCTTTCAAAAGGTGCTCTCACAGGAATTATGGACAAGAAAAAGCTGAGGCATAAATGTGAATTGAATTTAGCATTGAAGATCGCTGCACTAATAGAGAATGGTCCCTGTTCTCTAATTTTGATCTGATCAGCGGTTTCAGGTACTGCCCCAAAACAAATAGGCTATCTTTCAAGAAACTGAGGCATATGATTCTAGTACTACCTGGATGAAAATAGCTTTGGAAGAGGAACTTACTCAGTGTTGCTAAGTGGGAGAGAGGGAAAGAACTGCTCACACTTACACACGCATGGAAGGAAACTGCATTAATTAAAATAAAGGATTAAAGGAAATCACCAAATTGCAGGAGTGGATTGGCTTAGCAGTGTACACTTTCTGTGTCTGCAAGTCTTTGTGTTGTTCTGGCTTGAGCCTTAAACAAAGCACTTTATAATCCCAGCTGGAAGGCCCCTTTTAGCTTCTGAATTTACAGCACAGCTGTAGCATTTAGCCAGTAACAAGCTGATGATGGTGTTTCTTTCTTTCTTTCCCTTTTTATGACTATGTTTGCTTCCTTTTTCAGAACTCTGTATTATTTTTTTAAACTTAGTTAATGGTAAATTTAGAATGAGTTTTGCTTCATGGGGAGGTAAATTCTCTTTTGAGTTGAGATTGACTCCTGGTGATTTAATGAACATGTCTGCAGTTTTCTTAACATAGCATGGAAGTAGTTTGTCACTATCTTCTTCCAAGATAGTCTTCACCTTTCCAGTCTAGCCTACAGCACTGGGATTTTCTGCTAGCCTCCCATGTAAGTAGTGACCAGGGCCAACCTTGCTTAGCTTCCAAGTCCAACCAGGTGCTGCTACCCAGTATTGAAGACTGAATGCTATTCTTGCTTAGACTTCCAATTGTATTTTAATGATCTATTTTATCAGGTAGATAAAATATGTATATAATAATTTTTAAGGCATTATAATACCTTAGTTGATCAAAAAGAAAAAGGATGAACACATTTTGGCATCTCTTTACTTGATGTAAGTATTTTCAAGCTTGATATGGGGAAAGCAGTTGGTGTGTAAAACAGAAATGTTGAGGCAAATGCATGAATACTGTATTACTCTTGGAAGTTATATATAAATCTCCTTTGGCTGTGATCCATTCGCTGGCCCAGCTTTTTTGTATGTTCTTCAAGAGCAGAACGTATGTTCCTGTTCAAAAAATTTTAAAAATTGCAGGGTCATATTTTGTTTAGAATTTTATCAGAAAATCACATGTTTTCATTTGCTGCAGTTTTGTTTTCTCCCATAAACAACTTCTTCCTCTTCCTCAGTATAATACAGTGGATAGAAAGGTATTCTACCTGTCTGCTTATCTGAATATCTGGTTAAAGCTCCTGATTTGTTTTATATTGCAATAAAATAGAAATAATGATCTCACAGTTGATTGATATGAAGGGGTTGGGCAATAATTTACATTGGAAAATTAAGCCCAACAATCTTATACTCATCAAGAAGTAAAATCCATTGAATTTAAGGGATTTCTGAACACCCATGTATATCACTGTGCTGCAAAAATACTATAAAATGTGGGAAAACCTCTGTTTATATGAATGAAAGTCAAGCTGCCATCTAATTGCATGTTGCAGCCTTAGCGGCAATGTGAAAGGTGTGCCCCAATTGAAATCTGTAGGGTCTAA